TTCCTTACTATCCAAATCATTTCTTTTTGAAACAAAATTTCATGGCATGTTACTAATATCTACATTCATACTATTGTTTGCTTATTGAATACAAATGGGCAAAAACAGAAGTCAATCAATGAGCTCAAATGAAGTCTTATAGGAGGAGATGGACCCAGTAGTGAGTCGAGGTTTGGTTAACAAACTTATTGCAATGGCCTCAAGCTGTCGTTATACAGGATTCCACAAAGCAAACTAACTTCTTTTAGAAAGTCCCAACTTCTCAGATAAGAAACAATTCTAGAATAGAAATATTCTTATTTGCAGGAGAAAGAATATATATGCAAATAAAAATAGTTTGTTTTCTCTTCTGGCAAAAAAAAATTAAGCTGCTCAGAAGTAGAAAAGAAAATTTTATAGTGAAATTTCCTGTTTGGGGAAAGGATTTTTATGGGAACACATCTATCAGACTTAGTTTCTGTTCCAAATGGGAAAGAAAATTACATTTTCTCCTTGGGAAGTGCACAGATCTCTTGATATGGCCATGGACTTGGGATTTCTATGCTGTTTGCCTTCAGGCGGATATGTGCTTCCCTCTTTCCCTCTCGGCCAGTCTCAAGAGTGAGTTGTCACCACATCAGTGACTTTGTGTGTCACTGATCCTTTACAGATTGTCCTTAAAGACAAATTCCACAACCCCTGATTACTCATGTCCGTTTACGATGCTTTGTTTGACCTTGCTCTGCCTTTTTGCAGTTAGTTCTTACATGTACAAAATGGGAGAATGAGGTTGAGAGAGTGGAGTTTGCAAGGACTTGATCTTGACCATCTCTGGTTGTTCCTCCTCTGTGTTCTCTCCCCTCTCTAGGCACTAAGGGCACATTTGGCCTTTATTCAAGTGAACACGTGGAGGGCAGTGTGGGGACTTTTGACTGTGTCTTCAGTGCCTTTGCACCCTCAGGACGCAGCGTGGCACTTGGCTATGTCATTGGTAACCCATTGACAGATTTTAAGTGAATGATAAACACCACTGCTGCCATCCTGCTCCCTATTATTCCTTTGAGAGCTCACAACACAATACATATATGCACATTTTATTTTGTATCAAATCTCTAGTTACGAGAATAATCATCAGTGACAGATGCACATCTCTAAACAATATTTCACTTTTCATTTCTGATGGGCATGGAACATCCAGGGTTTGTGGTTATACTGCACATCGTCATGAATGTTGTTGGCTGTTACCCAGACTTTCTATCACCTTGGCCATTAGAACACAGTTCAAAATCAATTTTATCAGATTTTCTAAGGAGGGAAGCTCTGGAAGAGTCATTTTGCTTACAATTGGCCACAAACGAGGTTGACATGAAAAATGTTCTTGCAGAAGCAGCCTGAAAGGACAAATAGTGCAAGTGAGTCTGTTATATTTCACCTCCTCCTCCTCCTGATTTTCTGCTAGTTCTGCTGTGCTTAACATTTTGAATATTTAATACTATGCTAATTTTTCCATTCAATGTCATTTCTATTCTAGAGAAACTTCTACAGAAGTCATTCTACCAATATTTAAAATAAATGAGGCTGTTATTTGAGACATTCATATTGCTTATGATTATTTTAAACCTCAAAACTTGTTTTTCCTCCTCTATGAAATTTTTTTATGTTTAAAGGTAGTGACAAGAACAAACCATGTACTCATGTTTCCTTTTTCTCAAATTCCAATTTTAGGTAGCAAGAGGAAAAACATTCACACGGTAGAAAGTCATCGAAGTTGACATATTACATAATTGCCTTGATACATTCTTTGAACACCAATGAAGTAAAATGTAGTTGAAATAATATCCTACAACTATTCAAACACATAGGACCAGAAACATCTCAATATATTATAAAAAATTAACGTTGCTCTGTCATTGAACTTTCTAGTTTGTATTATTCTAAGCCCTCAGATTGCAAATGATCTCTTCCTCAAAATACAGCATTCTACTTGAATCCATACTCTATTAAGAATTTACTCCAGTACCACTACACCTGAAATGGCCATGGAAATCAGAATATCAGAGTTGCCAGCATCTCATAGTATGAACTGAGTGAGACATTCAAAATCCGTGCATCTAAGCCCTAATCTTATTGGCAAGAAAATAAAGGCCTTTTCCCATGTTATGCATGATGTTAATGTTAAGACACTACCCCTTCCATTGTGCCAAGTTGGTAACAATTCTGTAATACACTTTTTCAATTACTGTATATTGAAAATAGACTCTGATTCAACACATCACAAATCTTGCATATTTAGGTATTTGTATGTGCATGTGTACACACACACACACACACACACACACACACATGCCATCATCCAGCGCACAAGTCTCACTCTATTGTGAATTATATATTTATCTCTTCTAAAAGAGATAACCTGGTAAACACAAAGTATATAAAGCTTTGTAGAATACAGATTTTGCTGGGAGATACCATTAAAATGTTTTGTCTAATAAAAATGTGAAAAAAAGAAAGAGTAAAAAATTCTAGAATTTTATATCCATTCTTTTCCTAAGACCGATGGAGTATGCACATTTGCTTCAGTAATAATTTTGATGGACTAGATCTTTCTTCAGGAAACAAGTTAAAATGGGTCTTTTTCCCAAGGTTACTTCATATTTTAAAAATACCTCCTAGCCTTTATATCAATGGGAAAAAAAAAAACTGTTTGGCAATGTTAGTTGATAACTGGGTTTCCATAAGGAAGTGAAGCTTATCAGGAGGGAGAAAGGTAATCAAGAGGGGTGGGTACAGCTGGAAATGAATTAGGAGTGAATTTCCAGGAAGGTTAGACAGTGGAAAGGACCCTTGCACTGTGGGCTGTGACCTACTTCACATCCTGCTTTTATAGTCTGCAATCAACCTTTGCATTATCACCCCACTCATAGCATCCGACTTTTTCGTCCCAATATTCCACCCCCATCCTGGGTTATGGTGAACTCTCAATGGTAAATAAATGCTCTGCTTGTAACTTCTTAACTTAGCAACTCAATGACAGCATTTATTTGTTTCACACTTACTGTATTTCCCACAAGCCAAGTGTTTGTTGTACCAGAAAATATTCCAATAAAATATAGGGCATAAAGTGATTTTTAGCAAATTAACACCAAAAAAAAAAAACTGGAAAAATAATTCCACTTCCAAATAGTCTGTAGATTCAAACCTCAGCAGAATTCTTAAAACTTACCAATTAATGCACTTTTTAGCTGAAGAATTTATTTTCTGAATTTATCTTTGGATTCAAATCATTTCCCATATTAAAAAAAACAGACTACAGCTTTTTAGTCTTAAGACATTCTCAGTTATATCTTAATAATATTGGCAAGAAAGCACAAAGAGTCTGTATCTTATTAAAATTTCAAAAGTGTTGCATTTTTTCAAGACTTTTAGAACTAGCCAATGCAAAAAAAAAAAAAAATCAAGTACTGCTTAAAAAAATTTCTTTCCATATCCTAAAATATACTCACAAACCATATATCCCTCAATACATTTTATTTTAGGAAAAATGTAAGCCACAAACCCAGAACTTGAAGAAGAAAAGTGATTTTTTTAAGCAGAAATGTGATTTATATATGCAATTTTTCTTCAACACCTCATACTTTGAAAATACATTTGTATCTCCTGAGGACAGCAGAGAGAGATACCCTTTCTATTTACAGCATCCAGCAAATTATAAGCTTAATAAATAAATGTTAATTTGATTTGATTTGGGGCACTTTTTTAAAATTCAAAATATGTCTTTTGCATTAATCCCAGATATGACCTTGATATAGATTGGTTTAAAGGATGTTAAAACCAAGGCAGAGATCCACGAGAACCACTTGGATGTTTCTCCCAAAGTGGTCAAGCATCATCCTGCTGGACCATGGCCACTCCAAAGTGCCTGGAATCCATTAAGCCAGGAAGTACTGTAGAACTGAGACCCAAATGTGTTAGAAATGCTCTCACATTCATTTTGATCAGCTCCCTCTGCCTCCTGCTTTACCTCTAAAAGGGAAGACAGAATGGAAGAGGCAGCAGTTCTGTAAGGATCCAAGCAACACACGGAAGTTCAAGGATCTAAATCACTTCTCCACTAACAACAGCTCTGGGATCATTGCAAAATTACTTAGCCCTTTTACAAGCTAGTTACTTCCACCTCCCTCATCTATAAACATGCAAGGTTGGACTAAATCTCCCAGGTCTCTTCCAGGTCCCAAATCCTATAATTCAGACTGCCAATAAAACATGACCGTAACTCTGGGATATTCATTTTCCAAAGTAAAGTTGTAAACGGTCTGGACTTTTTCATTAACAAATGCCAGAAGCTATTGGGAACTTTGTGGGTGCTCAATAAATATGAAACAATCAATTTTATCTTTCATCTGCAAAATGGGGTGAGTAATGCTGACTTGTCTCCCAGAATTTTGTGTGAGAAATAATAGATGAGAACAAAGCACTTTTCAGATAATGAAGTAATTCAAATAAGCTGCTTTAATAGGTCTGAAGTCTGGATGGATGATGCAAGAATAAAGTGCCTTTTTTATTATTACATCTGTGAAATACAACAGTCTTTTCATCTGTTTAAGAAAAAACAAGTCATTATCCTTGCTTATCATTGAAAAGTCAGCTTGAGTAATTTCCGTGCAAATGGAATTTTTCATGTGATTTTAACATTTATCACTTTTAACAAAATGCAGCTTTTATCTTTACCTGATACCAAAATGGAATCATATCTTGATTTAACTAGCTTAATGAGGCATTCCATCAGCATTATACTACTCTGCCCCCCAAAAAATGCTTTCTGAAATGACTGATAAACTGCACAAATGAGAAAATTGCAAATTTAATAATCCTCCTACTCAAAAGAGAATACAATCAGGAATTATTACTAATGAAAATGATATATTGCATCCTAGCTTCCTGGGGACTTGCACTGGATAGGGTGTTGTTTTTTTTTCTTAGTGTTTATAGCCAAAAAATAATATGCTCTGTATATTTTACAGTGTTCCAACAAAAGGCAGCAAGAAGACAATCTGATGATGAAAAGTTCCATGGTCTTCCTAAGAAACCAGGTACTGACACTAACTTCAGTCTAGTTAATAATCTTTAACATTTAAAGAAATCTTATGAATACTGAATAAAGCCCCCAGGGTAGAAGTAAATGATTGTGTTTGATTAATTTCACTCTCAAGTTAGTGTCTTGCCCAAACGTAATTTTGACATAATAAAATCAATGCAAGAAATTTATTTTAATTAACAAAGACAGGAAATGGCCTTGTCAGAATGCCTGTGGTGATGCTGTTACCAGGGATTCAGGAAGGTTAAGTAAGACAAATTGTAATGTGCATCAGAGGTCACATATTCCAAGACCTTCAGAGGGTGGAAGGGTCCAATGCTTGATCCCCCAAAAGCATGAGAATTCTATGTGATGCCCTTTTATCAGTATTCTTTTGCCTTCGGCCCTTGATTCAACATATTTTGAATAATTGTTTGTAATGCAGAAAAGTGCTGAAAATTGAAGCCACAGAGATATCTCACAGAGTAGGAATATTTTCTACCTCCAGTTTCTTCTAAAATACTTATTTCTTTTTGAAAAGAGAGACTCTAGCAAGTTATTAATCATGATTTTTAAGACAAACAGGACTGATTTAATGTTCAAATATGAAAAACATAAAAGGTGATCAGATAGAGGTAGGGAGTAACAATAGCTGACTCTGATATGAAAATTGGCAGACCCACCTTTGAAATAATGTAAATCCTAAATCATGTTATCTTGAAATTGGTATCAGGAAATTATTGAGAGAAACATTAAAACAAAACCAGAACATTATTTCCCAGCAGTCACTAAGCAGTCCTGTGGTTGGATACTAGTTTTTGTACTATTATAGAAATTGTGAGGTGTAGATTGCACCAACTTCTAACACTCACTGAACTATTAGATACATAACCCCAACAGTCCTGCTCCTGTGGTACTATGGAATGTCCTTCAAACACAGTTGTGTCTTTAAATGAGTGATCTTCACCCATCACTTCAAGTAGCATTTCCCATGGCAACCAGGTTGTACTTAGATAGTTCTTGCAATTAAGTTCATGGTGTTTGAATGCAGTACATGAGGAGGCTGAACTTCTCTTCTCCCATGAATCACGAGGATAGATTGTTTCCAAATTTACATGTACCAAACTCTCTTTATCTGGCAATTTTCCATTTTTAGCAATTTCATATTTGGTGGGGGGAGAGGTCTTTTTAAAATCTGATGCTATCCTCCCACTGAGCCTTTAGCTCTCTCGAGAAATCAATGCAAAACTTCATGTAAGATTTTTGTGCAACTCAGATCAGAGCAGCTCCTAACGAATTAAACAAAGTAGATAAGATTATTTCTATCTGGACTCCCCCACACATCGCACAGAGCTTTAGAAAGAACAAAGAGAGGAGATGCTTTGAGCTCTTTGGGATAAAATGTCCCTGAAGCATTTTTCTTATAAATTATTCTAGTATCATGTTTTTAATTAAGTTCAGTCGGAATTAAGGGGAGATGAAGAAGGGTGACAAGTGTCAAGTGTGATGAAGAGATTCATGAAAAGCTTGATCTTATCAATTAGCCTTCTGGGTGTTCCACAGAGAACAATGTGAGGGAAGGCATCTAGTATCCACTTAGCCTCGAAGAGCTGATTATTATTCCACCACGTGGATAGAAAAGTAGTTTCCATCTGTGCCCAGACAAAAGGGGAGGAGAGAATGGTGAAAGGAAACAGGATTCTAATTATACGATATTTTACGGGTTTATCTGTCCATAATTTATTACCCAATTTGCTTCATCAAGGTCAATTATCACTAGATTTTTAGAACTCTATAAAGACTAGGATACTGAATGTTTTTTTTAAATATGTATTCTTAAGTTTTAGATGAACACAATACCTTTATTTTACATTCCATGTGGTGCTGAGGATCAAACCCAGTGCCTTGTGCATGCTAGGCGAGCACTCTACCACTGAGCCATAACCCCAGCCCAATACTGAATGTTTTGATCATATTTTATCTGACATCTTTCTTCTTTCTAGATTCTTAAATTCAACTTATGGGTAACATTTTTTTAAAATTTACTGTATTGAATTTATTTTACAACTTATTACAATTTAATATTTATAAATTATATTCCATGTAAAATAATCAGGTCTCCCAGGTTCACATGAAACAAGTAAATTGAATAATAAACATATGTAAGAATAGATGTATATATATATATATGTGTGTATGTGTGTACATAATTTTTGGAGAAACGATTGTTGTTAAAGGTTTACCAGCAAATTTTTATTCAAATCCAACCATGTCAATAGTTACAGGAAATGTGAAAAGATAAAAGCATCAATTAAAAGGCAAAGATGGTCAGATACAATTTTCAGATGCAAAGCCTACTACAAGCTTCTTTTAAAAGATTCAGTTTACAAGTAACAAAACAACAAATATATGCATAAATACACACAAATACATTATAGATTATGCAAACCTTAAATTTGTGCCAGAGTAGATATGATGCAAGTGCTTTAATTGTGAAGAAAGGAAAATTTCATAATTTGAAAATAATTTACCATCCAGATTTAAATGTGTAACTATTATGCAATAAATTATATGAGAAAGATTGACTTGGCCAAAATAACAAGAAAATCCTCAAAAATAAGAAGCCAAAATAAGAAGCCTGATTAAAACTTTAAGAGAAATTCACTTCTTTTTTAAAACTGGTTCTTTTTAGTTATACATAACAGTAGAATACATTCTGATATAATTATATAAGCATGGAATATATCTTATTCTAATTAGGACCCCAGTCTTGTGGATGTACATGATGGTAAGATTCATTGTGTTATATATATATATATATATATATACACACACACACACAGGAAAGTTATGTTAGATTCATTCCACCATCTTTCCTTTTCCTATCCTTCTTCCTTTCCCTGCATCCCCCTTTGTCTAATCCACTGAACTTCTTTGATTTGTCACTGTATGATGGTTTCACTCCATTCCTTTAATCTTGGGCATCAGTAATTTACAAGAACCAAGATAACATCAAACCTTATGAAACATTAAAAAAAATCTTTCTGATGACTGCAGTCTGCAGGGCAACCAGCATCTAGCATGAGAAAAAGAAGGATAATTGGGAGATAAATGAACTTATCTAAGTACCTCACTCCAGCTATATTTCCTAAACCGTTTAGATATTATAATCATCCAGACCATGGCACATACTAGGCAATCAAATCTGCTTGTTATTGGATTCATGAACACTCTTCAGATATCCTGAGTTCTGTGGTATAATAAGAAAGGCAGTAGATCCTTTCATCAACGATGACCTCTTTATTCACTGGAAAAAAAAAGGGAGTGAGGAATTTTCTGAAATTTTGTCAGAGTCAAAATTTTCTCACTGTTCTCTTAAAAAGGTTATTTAATTCTTCAGTTGTATGCTTGAAGAAAAAGGGATAAAGAGGGCCAGATATTTTTCCCCAGAAAGAATAAGCACCTCCAATGCCTTCAGTTCAAGATTGCCAAGGGATTGCCAGGAAGCAATGATATGGCTCAGCCAAGGAATTTTCCTGAGGAACAGAAAAAAAAAAAATTAATTGGCACCATTTCCATGGAAACTCAACAGAATTCTTCAACTCAATACTTACATTTTGGAAAAAAAAAAGGAAAAGTGCTAAGGACTACAAATCACAGATAGAATTTTCCATTAAAATGATTTTTAAAAATTAATTTTCCCAAGTTGGTTTTTAAATGAGAAAAATGCCAAGAAGGCGGTCACAGAACATGGTGCCACCAGACCTTCACTCCAAAAGTGATCCTAACAGTCAAGGGCATATTCTCAGTGTTACAAGCTGTTGCTAGATTCTGTCTGTGTGTTAGGAGCTGATCAGGGTTTTGAAGTCTGAATCATATTAAGCGGGAGGACAGAATGGTAAAAGGAACCAGGGTTTCTAAGTATCAGTTCAATTCTATCTGAGGTGGGAAAATAAAAGGCAAATCAAAGAGTCATGCTTTTGAGAAAAAAAAAATAAGGAGCTCATTTAAAGCTTATAAAATTTGCATAAAACATTTTTAGTAACCAGAAGACTCCTAGATGAACATGTTCAAGTCAAAGGATACTAGAGGAAGGTAGGGTTCCTTCTTCAAAGACATGAAAACATGTAGCTAATTTTCCCTGCCTCACAGTCTAAGGTTAAGACTGGCCTTTTCTATGCACATCAAGATCAACCCCATTTTATTAACACAGTCTTACTGCAGATAGGACCCATGGCAACTGAGGAGGTTCAAGCCCTCATAACCAACTGCCTCCCTGTGATGGTAGATCAAGTGCACATCTATCTTCTGACCTACAGCTGGATCATGAAGTTCATCAAATACATTGTTGCCATCACCTTCAAGGGCAAACCATTTCTTTGGGGGATGGGATTAGGCAGTTAGGAGAAGAAGGTCCACCCTAACCACTGTCAATGCCAGTCACCCCTAACTCTAGAGGAGTAATAAGAATTTCTTGTAGAGCTTCTGAACTTTGGTGGCCTGAGCCCTACCTTAGACACAGACTAAAAGTAGACAGATGAAAATACTTATCAGCAGTAATCTCAAAACCAATCTATAAAAAAAAAAAATCCCACCAAAAGAAACTGTGCTTCGGAAACCACATTATGATAAAATTTACCTCCATGTTAAAAATAAACCATACGATATAATTTAATTCTTTTGCTAGCATGTAAGACTATGTCTTCTGTAAAATTTCAAATTTCCAACCAGGCTTTATTATGTAAATGTATCATTTGCCCCCAATGATTTTTGCTGTTATCATTCTTTTTGTGTTGTTTTCTTATAATGAAAACTCATTTCTCTAAAACTGTAATTCTATCTAATGTGGGAAAACAGAAGTCATATCAAGAGTCATGTTTTCAAGAAAAAAATTTAAGAGTACATTTGTTCATGATAATAAATACTATTCTAAGGGGTTAAAAAAATCAGCACTAAACTGTCTTTGTATGGTGAATTTTATCTTTTGCAGTCCCTGGTACGATCCCTGCCTACTAA